CAAAACAGAGAGGGGAAGAGCTGACAACAACACTGCCTCCTGCCTAGGGCCATGGTGCTAACTCGGTGAATTAATGCATGCAAGGTGCCTAGCAGCATCAGCATCAAACCAGGACTGGCTTTTCTTATTCCCAGCCCCAAGGCAGCGCTGCATCCAGGTCCCTCCTGCCACCACTGCACTCAGAAATGAAGAAACTGAGGCTAGAGACACTAAATTAAATGTTTGGGAACAAGACACTCTACGGCCATGCTACATTATGCAGAGCAGGCAATTAGAGAACAAAATGCTCTGTAATAAAGAGCTAACTGGGTAGGACAGAGGCTCAGTGTCCCGGAAGCCAGAGGCAAGGAGAAAAATGCAGCTGGGGACAAGGACGGTCTGGCCAAGGCCCACGTATTCTTGCTAATAACAGCTAGATTTCTCCTTAATATACATAATTCATCCTCACAGCGGAGCATTTGAAAGTGCACACATTTATACCAAGTGGTATATACATCATCCAGTATCTTGCCTCCCAAGAATAGTAGTTTTTCTAGTATTTATCTATTCTTTTTTCTCTCCTCATAAAATTATATAAATCAATTGTATGCCCGCAATCAATTCCCCCGAGGTGTGACTGCCTGTGTTTTATAGCAGGCGAGGTAGGATGCAGGAACAGACAAACCCCGAAAACAACAAAGTTTGTGATCGCCTGCTATCAGGAGACGGAGAGTGAAAAACGGTGTGACATTTTAAAAACTCTTTTATTCCCAGCACTGCAAAATAATTAAACAACTAAATAAACTAACAATGCCAAATCTTTAGGTAATAAATAATTCTCAAGTCCTGGGTGCCTGACCTTAACATGCATCCACATCCACTATCTTCTCAGCCTCTCCAGACTCCCACCCTTGCCCCATCATCATCCTGCTTGGGCCCCTGTAGTCACCTCCTGCCTCAGTCTGTTTTCTGTTACTGTAACAGAAGCACTGAGGCTAGTACTGTAAGGAAGAGGTGGATTTAACTCACAGTTTTGGAAACTGAAAATCTAAGATCAAAGTGACCCCTTGGCTTGGGGTCACTGTATGGCAGGTGGTATCATGGAATCAGCAGGTGTGAAGAGAGGTCACATGATGAGACAGGATGCAGAGAGTGATGGCAGGCCTGCCCTGCTCTTTCCATAACAGCTGTTCTTGTGAGAACTAACATACTCAGTGAGAGCAGTACTGACCCGTTCTCAGCACAGAGAATTGGTTAGAACTGACCTAATCACCTGCCACTAGGTCCCACCTTAGAGATTCCAGCACCGCTCACAGGGCAACCTGAGGACCAAGCTCCCAGCACCCGATCCTTGAGTCCACAGTCAAATCATATCCAAACCATAGGCCTCCTGACCAGTGGACTCACTCCTGCCCCTGCCTGGCTTGGTCCACTCTCCCGCAGCAGCCAGCAGGACGCAGCTGTGACTCGGAGTGGGGCTGCTTCTGCTCTGTTCCCTATGTCCAGGCCGCTACTGCACTCAGGCACAGTCCAGGCTGACAGTGGCCCAGTGCCCTGCAGTCCCCCGGCCTCCTCGGCCTGCCCATCTCACTGCACTCCCACCCCCTTCTCCCTTCCAGCCTCAGGCTCCTTCCGGAATTGGACCCCTGAGGGCCCTGCCCCAGGCTCAGCCTGCTTTTCTCTCTGCCTGAAACCTCTCCCCACATCCGGTCCACTCCCTTTTCCCTCCTGTGGGTTCCTCCCCGTGCCCCGTGCTCTGGGCCCACTTCCTGTTTACAATGGATCCTGAGACACTTCCGCTTCCTGCTTCCTTCTCCCCTAGGCCTCCTATCATAGCCCCTGCCCCTCCTGCTTGCCACCTGACACTCAACTTCTGTCTCCTTCTAGAATCCAAGCTTCGGACACAGGGTCTGTCTGTCTGTCTGTCTGTCTACCCTGTCACCCAAGCAGCTCCTCCTGCAGCCTTTGGGGGGCGGTGCTAGAACTGCAAGGGACCTAAATACTCTCCGTGTCCAATGTAAGACTCCATTGCAAGGGAGATGTCACCTGTCCCTTGGACCCCTGCTTGCCCATGCCAGGCCAGGAGCTTTCATGCTGGCCTAGGAGGGCGCCTCCTGGCGGTGCAGGTGAGAGAGGTCGGAGCGCTGTGGGCTGGACTTGTCACTCTTCTTCAAGGTGGCATTTATTTACTTATTTTAATGTAGTACAAGTAGATATTAATAAAGAAAATATAAAAAGTGCACTTCTTAATTCTCTACAAAAAACCAAACAAAGCTGTGCAACAAAAGAATTGGAGAATGACAATAGTTAATACACCGTGTATCATAATCTTAAAAAACTGGCCAAAATGTTACTCAGAGTACAAATCATAGACAAATGAGACTCTCTCTTACAAAGAAGAAGCAAACAGACAAAAGCACAAAACTTTCTCTTCAAGGAACTAGTAGTAGCAATAAAACAAATTAGCATATATATTAAAATATTCTTGAGGCAGCAGAATAGATAATTTAGTGAATTATTTGAACTTTTCCCTGACTCCTCTTTGTCTATCTTCTGTTTTGCTCATATAAGAGAAGCTGTGCAATATTTAAGCTTGTGTGTTTGACTTAATTCACTTAATAATACAGTATGTTTTCAAGTTACACCCATTTACTTATGAATGCCTCAAGTTTATCTTTCTTTATAGCAGTATAGGACTCCACTGTGTATAAGTACCACATTGTCTTTACCTATGCATCTGGTAATGGGCATATATGTTGTTTCCAAGATCTGGCTATTATGAATTGTGCTGCTATAACCATGGGTATTCATGCATCTCTATAATGTCCTGCCTTAAACTCCTTTGGGAAAAGACCTAGAAGCGGGATAGCTGGGTCAAGTGGAATTTCTAGTTTTAGTTTTTTGAGGAACCTCCACACTGGATTCCATAGTGGTTGCATTGTTTATATTCCTACCAACAGTGTAGAAGAGCTCTTGTTTCTCCACATTCTTTCCAACATTTCTTATTATTTAATTTTTTGATGATAGCCATCCTTTCTGAGGTAAGATAGTTAGCTCAACATAGTATTAATTTTCATTTATCTGATGGCCAGACATGTTGAACCTTTTTTCATTTATTAGCCATCTGAACTTCTTCTGAGAAGTGTCTATTCATTTCTGTTGCCCATTTTTTTGATTGGCTCTTTCATTTTGGAAAGTCTAATTTTCTTGAGTTTTTTAAGATGCATCTTAGATGTTAGTCCTCTGTCCAAGGTATAGCTGGCAAAATTTTTCCCATGTTCTGTAGGTTTTCTCTTCACTCTGTTGGTTGATCCCTTTGCTGTGCAGAAGCTTGTGAATTTGATATGAACCCACAGGGTCAACGTCCTGTCTATCTCCTTGCTGGGACATCCAGCTGCTCCCTGTACCTCCCCCACAGTCCCTCGGGCCCCCAGGCCTGTACACCCAAGTCCACATGGATGGTCTCCCTCACTGTGTCCCTGCCTGGGTTCCCCACCAGCAGGGGGCCTCTCTCCACTTGGTGGCCCTGACTACCTGCGTGGGTGCTGCCTTCCCCTTGACGTTCTTCGCTTCACAACACTTTCTCCTGTTCCATTTGGAGGAACTCAAGTCCCATAACACATTTCTGGGTCTGGATGCCCTCACCTACCCTCACTTACTTCTTTTTGCTGAAACTACTCTTAGTGTTTTTCTATTACTTACAAACAGCCCTGACTCAGATACCAAGGAAACCTGTTTATTCAAGAAACTGATTTTTTTTTTTAAAAAAAGCATTCTTTCCAATGATGACGTCTCTCTCAGACACACTGAGAGAGGCCTCATCAAATAAGAGGAACGAGGCATTTGCAAACCTCGTTAAACCTGCAATCTGGGCACACACTTGTTTGACAAGTGATAATTAACTGCTGACAATATAATTTTAGCTGGGATGCAAACATGTTTTTCATTAAGAATAAATCAAAGAGATCCTTGCACTGGGGAGTCCGGTCTTCTCTGGCAGAGCGCGGCTCATCTGTTGACAGAAGCTCCGAGTGGCGTGGAGTACCCACTACTCCCCGTTAGGTGTGACATAGGCCTCAGAGGGGACACTAGGTCCCGTGGACTTCACATTCCTGGGATTTCTGTGTCCACAGACTCCCAGGCAGTTTCCTGGAAGGCGGCTCAGCCAACTCCTTTCTCACTAAGGGGCCATCCTTCTTCCTTGTATGTCCCCAGGCCCCAGTGTACTCAGTATACCCCAAACTGACTGGCTGGAGTCTGGTACTGACCCCACCTTTAAGGAAGAAAGGGCAATACACTTAGGTCTATGTAGCCCCTAACATACCCAAGAGCCTATGGAGTTCGTACCCCTCTCCCCATTTTACAGATGAAAAAGCTAAGGCTCAAAGACTGGGAATCACTTGTTCAAGGACACACAGCGTATAAGGGGCCAGAGAGGTGAACTTGTCCACTGTCCCTCCCTTAACTCCCTTTCTGTAGCAAACTCATCTGTTCTGTGCTTCCATGCCCCATCTGTGAAATGGGGACAAGACTTGTTCTTTCCCTCTGAGGCCCTTTCATGGATGAAATAAGTCCATAAGTAGAAGGCTGGTATCATAGTGCTTGGCATGTAGTAAGCCCTCACAGTCACTCCTGTTAGCTCTAATGCATATTAATCATAACCAATATTCTTATCAACAGTATGCTGATATTATTAGGCAAACTCCTTCCCTCCAAACCATGAACCAGTGGTCTTATCCCCGTAATCACCTCTATGAATTCCGAGCAGGACAGATACATTAAAACAATGATTATACAAATACCTCAGAGAAATTGGAGAGCACCAAGATGAGAGAAAGTTCAAACAAATCAGCCGAGAGAAGACAGATCACTGACCAAGGAGCAACCAACAGCCAGCAGGTTCCCACAGCAATATTAGGGACCGCAAACTAGGAGACGATATTTTTTTTGGGGGGGGTGGTCCAAAATGAGCAAAGAAGAATTCAAAGTTAAGTAAGAGAGAGAGACATTTTCAGGCAAAGTTGGCAGCCCGTCATGTTAGTTTTCTGATACTATGACAAAATACTTGGGATAAACAACTGAAAGGAAGAAAGTTTATTTTGGCTTCTGGTTTCAGAGGTCTCAGTCCATGCTCACTTGGCCCTGGTGCCTTCTGGCCTGAAGTGGGGCAGCACAACATGGCAGAAGCCTGTGGCGGAAGAGCCCATTCTCCTCATGGTGGCTGGGAAGCAAAAAGAGAGGATGCGGCCAGAGCCTAACTCCTTTCAAGGGCATGTCCTAAGGACCTTACTGCATTTCACCAGTCCCAGCTTCTTGAAGACCCCACTACCTCTCTCAGAGCCTTTGGCTGGAGACCAGGCCTTTAATACATGCAACTCAGAACACCTTTGTTAAAAGAACTGATTAAAAGTCACTTAGAAAAAGGGCATTGAATCTAGAGAGAAGAAAGAGCTCAATCCAGCAATAGTGAGCAAAGGAATGGGTAACTGTGGGGCCAACTGTAGGAAATTAGCTCCATCAGCAATCAATCACAGCTGCTGTAGGAACATAAAGGAAGACAGAACCATAAGTCTGGAGTGCATGAAATCAAAATGGAAAAAGAGACCAGAGTTAACACATTCTCAAGTCCTGGTGTGGTTCTGAGAGAGGAGAGAGACACTGATTTACTGAGATGGTGTTAAGTCAAACTTGCCTATTATGAGTTTAAAGACTATTGTTTAAAGAAGAGAATGAAGGGGGTGATTTCCAAACCAGGAGAGGGGAGGAGGGAACAAACAAAATGTGATCAACATGGATGACTAGCAGGAAGGGAGTCCAGTACACGAGCATAGGCACACATACACGCACCCACCTAGGCATGCACAGGGAGAATGAAAAGAAGAGCAAAAAGCAAACAGAGAAATCCCTGCAATTGAAAGTACAAAATAGAACATCCAAATCCTGACTCTGCCTTTCACATCTGTTGGTGACTGTGGGCAAGTGACTTGGTGACATCACAGCTCCAACCTCGATTTCCTCATTTGTCAACTGGAACGATAGGATGTTTGTTAAAGAGATATAATGGCATCTAAGAACTACCTGGAGGGTGACATCCAGTAAGTACCATGTAAGAATGAGTTACTGTCATGATTACTACAGGGATTGTGCAACAGGTACAGTCCTCAGTGTGTCCCAGCCACAATTTCTCACTATGACAAAGTACCTGAGAAAGTCAACTTTAAAGGAGGGAAGGTTTGTTCTGCTTCAAGTTTCAGTCCATTGTCACCTGGCCTGATTGCTTTGGGTCTGTGGTAGACAGAATGCTATGACTGAAGCATATGGTAGAGGAAACGCCTTGCTTCAGGGTGGATAAGAAGTGGGGTGGGGGCTTTTATACCAAAGCCCCTGTCCCAAACCCATTTAGCTATGACTCCATCAGTAGAGCAATCCATTGACCAGGTCAGATTTCTCATGAGTGCTATAGGTTGGCTCTGAAAAGGCCCCCAAAGACTTACCTATTGAAGGCCTGGTGCCCAGGGCAATGATGTTCAGAGTTGGGTATTTGGATGCTGAGGGCATCAGTAACACATAGTCCCACCAGTGGAATACTGATGGGTTCTGGTCTCACCCATCCACTGAGGGGTTCATAACTGGACAGGCTATTGGGGACCAGGGTCTAATTGGAGGAAGAAGGTCACTTGGGGAGTTCCATGAAAGGGTATGTCTCCAGCCCTTCTCTGTCTCTGTCTCTCTCTTGTCTCCTCGTTCCCTTCTACTCCCCCACTCCCCTCTATTCCTCTCCTCTCTCTCTCTTTCCCTGGCTGCCATGAGGTGAGCAGATTTCCTCTGTTACATTCTTTTACCTCCTTCTGCCTCACCACAGCTCCAGAAATGACAGGACAGGGTCAAATGACCATGGACCGAAACCTCTGAAACCATTGTCCTAAATAAATTTTCCTCCTTGAAGTTGATCATCTCAGGTATTTTGTCATGGGGACAGAGAGCTGATCTGATCCAGTCACTCGCCAAAGGAGCCACCTCTGAACCCTGTCACACTCAGGACCAAACTTTCTGCCCATAAACTCTGCGGGGAGGGGCTTTTTAGATCCAAACCATAACACCTTCCCAGCTGCCCCAAGAGTCAGGTGAGGAGGAGCTGTCCTCCTCACCCTGCTGGGGAGGAAATCGAGACCCTAGGGTGAGAGTCTGGCCCATGTCATCTGCAACAGCTGAGCCTGGATACAACCTGGAGTCCTCTGACCCTGAAGCTGTTGGTTGATCTTGTGACCTTAACAGCTGACAGCCTCCTCATCTGTCACCGTGCGTGCACAGGGCAGTCACAAGGCTGGGCAGAGACAAAGCACGGGAACACTGACTCCATTCCCAGCAAAGTCCAGTCCCTTGGAGGGACTCCTACTGCCACCATCACCCATGCCAATGTTGGTCCTCATCTCTGCTGTACATGTCCTGCATGGAGGCCGAGAGGCTGGGAGCTACAGCAGCTCTGCTGTATAGGGTGACCTGGGGGCTCCGGCCCGGCTACAGGGGTGGGCCGGGGGTGGGCTGCATTTCACTGACTCACACTCAGGCCTGGGTGATGAGTGAATGAATTATTGCATAAAATGTCTTGGGGTCCACATATCCATTGTTCCCATCAGAATGGCCACACCAAATAATCTCTCAGTACACAGCACCCCTGGGCATCCTGGAAACATTAGGACATGGACAGATCTCCAGGAGCAGGATGGGGGCCCTAACTTCTGGCATCATTGCTCTCCTCAGCCCTTACTGCCCTCAGACACGTTTGATAGCTCCATCTCTTAGGTTCTGTGTCTCCCAGTACAGCACCAGCTCTGTGAGAGCAGGGATTCTCTCCTGTCCCCTCCCGGGCCCCACATGGCAGATGCTCAGTAACATCTGAACTAGAAGTGACATCACTACTGCACACCCCAGTTTCCTCATCTATACACTGCGAGGATGATGCTCCCCTGCAGCTTTCCAGAGACCCGGTGAGATCTGCAGGGAGACCCTGGCCGGGGTGATCGGTTTCCTTCACTTCCCTACTCCCATGGTCTTGTCTAAGAAGTGAGGTTTAGGAACACCGTGCTGGGAGTGTACTTTCTTTGCCTGTGTGATGAAAAAGGTCCTGCAGCCAAGCCTTATTTTATGAGAAAGAGAGATTATCAAACTGGCTCAAGCGGCCACTAGGGAAATTTCCAAAGGGGTAAGGAGGAAGAAGTGAACTCCGGAGACAACTCTGCTTTCTCTTTATCTTTCAACAACGGGGCAACAGAAGTGGAATGTTTGCAGCGTGCCAGGGCTGCACCGTGTTACCTACATCCTTCTGTTCACACTTGTGGGACAGGTGCCACCCGGGGTAGAAATGAGGGAGGGGCTGAGGGTGAGCTTAGCTGAGACCAAACTGCGTCTGTCTGACTCTGCAGCCCTCTGATCTTTGGCTCCTTAAATTCCCAGAAACCTCCAGTCCCTTCGCTGTCCACCAGCCTCTTCTTGACAGGAGTCAGAGTGCTGTGAGAAGGTGGTGTAGACTTAGTTTACCTGGGAAGGAGGACACTGGTACTGGGGCTGAGTTGGCAGGCCTCAACTTCTCTTTGTGTCTCTGTGTCTGTCTCTCTCTGTGTCTCTGTCTCCCCTCCCTTCCCTCGCTAAGGGCACTTTGTAATGATCAAAGACAATTTGAAGAACATAAGAAGAGCTTAGGGTCATTCATAAAGGAGCGCAGAGGTCCTGATAGTCCAGCTCCTGGGCAGCACGCTGTGTGGCCCTAGGCTGAACATGCTTTGAGGGAGCAGAGGGTGATGAGTTCCCAGCAGATTGGCTCCATGGGCAAAACCCACGTGAGTGACTGTTGGAGTTGGCCTCTGTGCCTCTGGGCCCAATACCACTGGCTGAGGTGGGGAGACAGCTAGGTCCTGGAAATGCTACAGAAATTTGCAGCTGACGGCTCCTGAGGTAACTCAAGATCACGTGATTCTCTGGGCCCAGCAGGGCCACCGCCAGGTCCCTGAGGTCTTGGGCAAACATTCTGCCCAGTCCACTGCATAGAACTGCCTTTTGTACTCCTCTGCACCCACCTTGCTGAGGGACGGACACCATGCCCAGCTCCAAGGCTTTCATGCCAGGAGCAATTGGCATGGCCTCCTTCTTGGACCATCCTTCTCCTCCCCCTCCACTGCTTGGGCCAAGTGCAGCAGGGCTGCCAGGGTGAGGGGTTGTCACACTGGAGGAAGCGGGTGCTAGGCAGAGATGTGATCACAGTCAGGGGGAGCTGCACAGACAAGGGACAGCGGACTGTCGATTCCCCACAGGGGCCACTGAGCTAGGTATGGTTTCAGGGCCTGGGAGAGAAGACAGTTGAATGGACTATCTAGATTTCTGGAACTACAGACATAGAATCAAATAGCCTTCTATCCATGGGGACCCCTCCATTGTGTCCCTATCAAGGGAACTGGAGCCCCCTGCTCCTCCTAACATTCGCTGTGGTACTCAGGCAAGTCTCCATCCCCAACTGTCTCGGTGGAGGTCAGACCCTGTGCTGATCTTTCATTAGGTCTATGTGGAGACCTGGGGCATGTTCTCAGCTCTTGGATGGTAACCTGGGGGAGCCCTTGGCCTCACCTGCCCTTGACACTATGCATGCTGAACTAGCATGATAGGAACCAGGCCCAGACATGAGCAGAGAATGTGGCAGGCCGGTCAGGGATGATACAGGAGGCCTTGGAGGACAGGGCACTATGACATAGACCCAAGAACATGAGGTATGTGGCATCTGTTCACCAAATCATGCCTATTCTGAGGGGACTTGAGGAAGCTTCTAAAACACTCAAGGAACACTGAGACCTTCCCCACCCCCAGTGCACACTGACCCCTGCCACATGTCAGACCTACACTGGGTGCTGAGGACATGCTGGGCAGCCAGACAGTGCTGGCTTTGGTTCCAGGTGAAAGGTCACAAACTCCAGCTATGATCCAAATGAGTTCTTTTGATATGGCGGTGAGTTTGGGAATATGGGGGGGGGGCCTTTCATTTTACAGGGGAAGTGACTGAAGCTCAGCAGGGGAGTCACTTACTTGACGCCTTTGACCCAAGCCTGCCAAGGCCCCAGACCTGAGCTCTGTTCACAGCATCACCTGGTCGCTGGGTCTCTCAGGGTGATTCTGGAAGATCTTTAACCTGTCCTTCAGTCCCAGGACACATGGCAAATCTTCCCATGCTGACATTAATTACTCCTCCCAGAGACGGTGAAAATGTGTTATTTAAATAGCAATTATTAAAATCATGCTGGGGGTTCACTACATAATAGGTAATTATCTGCAACGTAATTGGGAAAACATTGTAGTCAGATCTATTTAGCTCTTTCCTTTGAACCCAGAGTTAATCCTGCTGAGCAGCTGATATGGGTTAAATAATATTCTTATTGAATCAGAGATGAGGCCACCTGAGGAACTTCTGTGCCAATTTGCCACGGTCTTGGCTGAGGGTCTGGGTGAACACACTTCCTTTGGACCTTGAGGGTTTGTTGTCTTTCAGTTCACTGTGACCTCCTGTCCCCTGGGATCGCCTTCATCCTTGTGCCTGTGTGTTCTCCCACGCACCCATTTCTTAATGCAGGTGTTTTCATATCCAATTACTCACTCACATCTTCAAGCAGCTTTTGCACATTCATTTGCTGTCAGTGCCTGCATTTTCCACCCATACTCAGGTGTTAGTTTTCTCCGTCCTCTTCTTATTAGTGGTGGTGAACCTCTGGCACTCCTGCTGCAGTGGGTTGTTTGTATCACCAAAAGCTCTAAAAGGTTTGCCATCACTGCCTCTCTCCACTCCCACTCCCAATGCTCATCCTTCCATGGTCCATTGGTGCTCGTGGCCCTTTTCCTGGTCCATCCTAGCCACTTTCCTGTCATTGGGACAGAGTACTTGACATGTACAACTTAAAGGAGGAGGGGTTTCATTTGGCTCATGATTTCAATCCATGGTCAGCTGGAGCCAAGGCAAAAACAGGATGGCAGAGGGGTATCATGGAGGAAAAGGTGCTCAACCTATGGTAGCTAGGATGCAGAGAGAAAAGTGAGGAGCTAGGGACAAGAACACACTTGTCATTCCTCCAGTGATCCACCTTTTCTGTCTGCACCTCTCCTCCTAACAGCACATTCAGCTCAACACTCTGCAGAGGATGAGTATAGTGCCCTCAAGATCCAATTACTGTTCAAACACTTGAGACTTTGGAGATATTTTAGATCTAAACCATACAATTCTACCCATGGTCCCAAAAGACTCATGTTCATCTATTTATGCAAAGTACATTTAGTCCCTCTCTAAGAGTCAACAACGTCTTAACAGCTCCAGCATCACTAAAAAGTTCAGGTCTAAATCTCAGAGACTCCGGGCACACTCTTAGTTCTGAGTCCCTATAAAATTAAATAAAAAAAAGAAAGTAAAATACTTTCCATAAAATGGTACAGGGTAAACATTCCCATTCCAAAAGGGGGAAATACGGGGAAAGAAAAGAATGAGCCCAAAGCAAGACTAAAACCCATCAGGGCAAACATTAAGTCCTGCAAGTCCAGCACCCAGGGAAAACTATGGTAAGATGTGAGTGCCAAATGGCTTGGATGGTCCTGCCCCTGTGGCACTACAAGTTGCAGTCCTCATGGATTCTCTCAGCATGATTTTGCTCACAGCCTGCTACTTTCCTTAGTAGATGGTCACATTCTTGGCTTCTCAAAATTCCTGGGATCTCTGTTGCACTTTCAGCTTTACTCTCATACCTACATTTCCCCATCAGGGCACACTGCCCTGCCTCCCAGGCCTTCTTGTGCAATCTGGATAGACTCTTCCCTGACCCCATAACTCTTGTATTTTGCATACCTATAAAACTAGAGCTAGAGGGAGGAGTGGGACTCCTCACTGTGGTCTCAGGCTCATGCAGCTTTTGCCAGCCAAGTGTCACTGGGTGCAAAAACCCAGAGGGTGATCCATCAGAGAACTCCTTGCATCTCCTTAAGAAGCGAATGGGCCTGTGAGTGGCCCCCGGAGAGATACGTCAACTCTCTGAAGCCCATGCTGCCATCAATGCCCCTCCTCTATCTAGGGGGCAGCTCAGGAGGGTACAGATCAGCCTTGGGGACTTCTGCTTTAAGAACTCAGGTCTTAGGCACCTGTAGTAGGGAAAGAATATAACACCCAGGGCCCAGGATACAATGCTATACTGGCCAGGTGGGTGGGGGGTGCGTTGGGCATGTCCTGGCATTTTTCTGCATCTCAGGTTCTACATTTATGAGTTGATAGTGATAACCTTTGCTTCCTAGGATGGTTGGTGTTATGGTTTGTGTCTGGATGTCCCTCCAAAGCATCATGCAGTCATGGGGCAAGTTTTTAGAGCCTATGATTGATTCATGAGCCAATGCTGGGATTATGGGTGTGACTGCTACACCTGCCCTGGGGTGGATAGTTTGCATATGTAAGGGAGAGAAAGAGGCTGCTTGCTGCCACTCCTCCCTTTTTCTCTGGCTGCTTCGCCGTTTTCCATCTCCATGAACTGTTGCCCTCTGCCATGTGCCACTCTGCCTTGGAGCCAGCCAAGTAGGGACTGAAATCTCCACAAACTGTAAGCTACATAAACCTTTCCTTCCTTAATTTTGGGCATCAGGTATTTTGTCTCAGCAATGAGAGCAAAGTAACCAAGACAGTTGGTGATTGAAATGAGACAACAGATGCGAAGGTGTTTACCTTTCAGTTGTCCTGGACATAGTCATTGTCATGCTTATTGTGGGAAAGACAGGGCGGTGTTTTTCTTCATTTTTGTTCATTAAATTAAATAATCCCAAACTCATGAGGATTTATACTTCCCTGCACTGTCTCTCATTTATTGTCCTCAAACTTGCAGATTTAAATGTGGAAGGGACTTTGGGAATGGCTAGTCTAACCCTCTTGTTTTATGTAGTGGGGAAACCAAAGCACAGAGAAGCAATATAGGGCTCAAGGTGAAGCATCCAGACACTCCTGCTTGGCCCGTCTCTGCATCTTGGCTCCCCAGGGCCTCCTCAACCTTGCTGGCCAGATACTCTCCAAGATGAACAGCTAACCGGCCCTAAACCTGATTTCCTCAGCTGGAGACTAATTTGCCCCGAGGATGCATTTTTGTTTGTTTTCTTTTTAGAATTACCTCCATTGCTTGAAAGCCATAATTTCAAAACCATAAAGTGGCTGTCACTTTCACTGCACTGTGTGGTCTGTGCTCTGTGTGAATGTGGCATTATGTCTAGTTCAAAGTCCCATTGAGTGAGTACATTCAGGAAGAAAGGATTTGATTTGGGACAATTCAAGCTGCATCATTTGCCTCCTAACCATATATATATATATATATATATATATATATATATATATATATATATATATATATATATTTAACTGTGAAAAAGAAAATAGATCTTAAAGGTTACCTTTGCCTTAAGAAATATCTGAATGCATGCAACTCCAGCTCCTGTTGAATGTGTGAAATGTTAGCATTTTCTCACTTATGTAATCCTGCCCTCTTGTCTTTTCCTTGTGCAAGTTACTCCTTCCCTGCATGCTTTGGGGACTTCTCTTTGCAGTCTCAGGGCTGTTGATCTCCTCCCTGTGTCCCCTTTCTGTGCGCTCCAGGAGACAGACTCAGGCTAGGCTCGACAGCTGGGAGATTCTCATTCAGGTTTCCTAGATCTTTCCCTACATGGGAAATCCAGGCAGCCATGTCCTGTAGGCCCACAGTGTGCCCGGTGCCATGACAGCTGCTATCTAAATTCACCATCTCTAGAGCTCGTGCTCTCATTCCAATCTGATCACCAATACCCCCTGCCTGGGTTATGGCAGGGGCCACCCAACCCCACCCTGATTCCATTCTGGCTTCCGTGGTTGCCTTTCCACTGATCAGTAGGACAGAGCCTTTAAAAATGCCAGTGCCACCAGTTCCTTCCCCTGCTTACACCTTCCATGGCTCCCATCTTCCCAGATTACAGCTGGACTCCTTCACTAGTTCCCAGGACCCCATGACCTCTGTCCTGAGTTCCCAAACCTTTCTCCTTACCTCCGTCCCTACTGGCCCTTGAGCATGCTGTGCACACTGCACAGCAGTATCTTCTGTGTGAGTTTTCTAGTCCTTGAGTCAGAAAAGCCAAGATACACAGATTGGGTGCAGAATCAAAGGCTGTCTGATTACTATCAATGGTACTGATGGAGGCCAAGGGGCTGTCCCTACTCCAGTGCATTTAAGATCAAGGTGAAGAGAACACTAATGGCTTCAGAAAATCCCCCCCTTTACTACTAGAATAAATCTTCCTGTCACCCTCGTCCACTGCCACACCTTGATGTTCCCCCATGTTTTGGAAACCACAGGTGGCAGGGACCATAGGATACAGAATAGTAGTACAAAGATCTACTGGATTCTTCACATGGCCTTTGAGTGGCCCAATAGACTTGGTAGCTATGTCCATCCTGAGTTGGAGATAATAGAGCTTCCAGGACATCAAAGCTTGGCTGCCTCCCTGTAGCCATGGACTCTCCCCTTGATGTGTAGGGAGCTAATGAGGCTAGCTCTGCAGTGTGCTCAGGAGAACTAAAAGAATGGAGATTGGTGCTCAGCAGGTACTGGACAAATGAAACAGAAGGAGCTCTTGGGAGCCATGGTAAGGATTTATCCAAGATTCCAGATGATGGAGCAGATACAGTCAGTAGGGTGAACTACAAAGTTTGTGGGGGACCTCGGAAAGGGAGTGTTCCCTTCAAGAGCCATGTTGGAATATAATCCCAACAAAGGCCAGGGGACAGTAGGGAAGGTATAAGGGTTATGATATAGGGGGCAGTAGGGAAGTGATTAAGTCATAAGAGCTCTGGCATCACAAAGGGCTTAATGCCCTACAGAAGGGCTGGAGAGAACTAGCTGAAACCCCCCTTCTCCCTCTGTCTTCTGATGTGTGTGAAGCTGTTGTGAGAAGATGACATACGTGGAGGAGCTTTTCCAGACTCCACAATTACCAAGGCTTTGGTCTCTGACCTCCAACCTCCATAACTGTGAGAAAAAAAGTTGTTATTTGTATATAATCAAGTGACAAGTATTTTGTTACAGAAGTACAAATGGGCGGAAACAGGAAGGCAGGAAGATTGCAGAGGGAGGATCTTGTTTGGAATTGGAGAACAGATTGGCAACAGTTAGAGAGCAGAGATTCCAGGAGCAAAGAAGGTAACATTCTAGGTGTTCCTAGCAACATCAGCTCTTTCATCTTTCAATTCAATTTAACATACCTTTCTGAGTGACCTCTGTGTTTGGCTAATATTTATATATGTGATTTCATTTAATTATCTCATGAACCTTACATAAAGCAGCATTATCATGACTTAAAACTAAGCACATTGAGCCTCAGTAGGAGAGTACTTGCTTGTAGTCTCCAAGTAGGTGTGGTAGGCAGAGGTCTAAGGTGAATCTGGATGACTGATTTCCTTGAAAAATACCCTCTCCATGAGTGTGGTCAGGATAGGTAACTTGCTTTAATAACACAATATGGTGAAGGTGAAGGGATTTTGCAAATGTAATCAACACCCACAATCTTTAAGTTGGTCAAATGGAGGTTATGCTGGGTGGGCCAGGTCTAATTAGGTGAGTCTTTTAAAGAAGGGGAGTAAGTCAGCATGGAAGATGTAGAGGCTCTCTCTTCACTACTACTTTTGAAGAAGCGAGCTGTCTTGCATTTTGCCACCACAAAGAAATGAAATCTACCAGAAACGAGCAGGAACTTAGAAGCAAATCCCTCCCTAGTTGAGCCTAAGATACTAGAGGACACTCTCATACTGTGTTATGAGGCCCTGAGCAGAGAACTCAGATGTCTCACCCACAGAGGCTGCGAGGCAAGAAGTGGGTGCTGTAGCTTCTGAGTTTGAAGTAGGCAGCAATGGTTGGCAGAGTCAGGAAGTGCAGATTCAAGCTGTAGAAGCCCCTGTGCCCTGTAAGGGTCACACTCTTTCCACCCCAGCTTCCATCCCAGCTCACCAAGTGCACATGTGTTGTGGTTTTGTTCAAGGCTGGACTTGGCTACAAAGGAAAGTTGGATGATTGAGCAGGCAGGGTGGAAACAGAAAGCTGATCTCTTTGACTTTTGAGCAAGGACCGAATAGTTATGGCTTGGCAGCCTGGCCCAGGAGGGAGGAGAGCGAATGCTGGCTGGAAAGACTGGTGGCCCATGGCTGCCTCTGACTGCCCATGGGGAGAGAGTTCTGGGAGATCCCCTGGTTGAGTCATCAAAGAGAGTTGGCTTGGGGGTCATCTTCAGCCCTTGGGCTGGGGGTCACTGACCACTGGCTCATAGACAGATGTGTGTAGAACACTGGGTATCTTTTGCCTCTTCACACTGTGGAATTCCATGAATGGCAATTATAGCCACCATTCACTGAGCAACTGCTTCACTCATTCAACAAATTCCTGAGTGTCCACTTCGTGCTGAGCATGGAGACCACAGTGTTAACTCGACTGAACTGGTAATTGACAGAGAGGGGTGTATTAGTCAGCTTTCTATCATTATAACAAAATACCTGGGACATCCATCTGTAAAGAGAAAAAGAATATTTTGGCTCACGGTTTTAGAGAGCCTAGCCCCTGGTTGGTTGGCCCCATTACTTCAGGGCACATCATGGTGAGTGCACATAATGAAGTCAAACAACTTACTTCACGGCCAGAAAGCAAAAGAAAGAACAAGGAGGAACTAGCTTACCACAAAACCCTTTGGGGAACACCCCAGTGACCTCTTAGAAGGCCCCACCTCTCAAAAGGTGATCAGTTCCCAACAGTGCTATCCTAGGGACAAATACTTTAACACAGGCCTTTGGGGGACAGATAGCAATGGGCCAGCCAGAGTTGGAGCCATGTCAACACATTTCTGTGGTCTCTGCCATCACAGGAGAGCATTTCCTTCATGTTCTAGGCTCTCGGCCACTCCTCATGGACAGTCTCTCCTCCCCTTGCCACATGCCAGTCCTTGGCATGATCATATCCTTGATCGTGGGGTGAGGTAGAGGGAGGGAGACAGGAAAGTGGAGGACAGACCACAGAGCTCAGTGAGGATTTTCCTCCTGTTTCTTTGTCTAAGGAACAAGCAGTTTAACACAAACTGATTTATGTACAGCCCATATTTGATGATGAAGAAGAGGTTGGTTGGACTCATTTTCTTAATCAACTATTTTAAATCTAGCATTAATCTGCTCATCGGCTGAACTCATCAGGAGAAAACACACCTCTTCATGAGTTTCCTAACTGGAAATAAATATCTCATTAAGTCAAACATATTAACCTGAGCACAGTCTTGATGTCAGGCAGCCTAATGAATGTCATTACAGGGAAGGCACAATAGTCCTCAGAGGGACCCCACCAGCCATGATGAACTCTGCAAATGCACTCAGCTATTGCAGAATGTGGACTCATCTGAGGGAGAAACAGGAAGAGAGGAGGAGAAGAGGGAAAGGGGATGGGGGAGGGGGCTGGTCCAGGTACCAGAGCTATCACAGAGCATCCTGCTCCAGATTAAGTCTGGTTTCTTTAATGCTTGTGGAAAGGCCCACAGCCACTCACATCTCATTGTTGATTCCAAGAGGAGAGAAGATGGGTGTTGCCTTCAAAAATGTCAGGCTTGGGTATCAGGAAACCTGGATTCTTTTTCTCTCTCTGGTCCCCCATAGCATTGGGAATAATGTCTAGGTTTTCTCTACACATCAGTGGGCTCAGCCTAGTTTCTTCCAACCTTCAAGATAAACCCAAGGCTAAGCACTTGCTCATATGTTATTTTATGGGACCTCCACAGAAACCCAGATAGGCAGACATTCCTGCCAAGGAATCTTAGAAGTACTGGAAAACCAAGGCTCCAAGAACTGATATGGGCTGCTTTGCTAGATCCTTGGGCTGGGCAGAGGAATAATTGGAGCCCTATCTGAGAAGGCCGCCCTTGGAGAGATGCACTCACCTTTGCCATTTGAGAGAGAGAAAGCAGAGCTTCTAGAAGAGCATGAACTTGGTGAAGAAGCCAAAGGCTGAAGGAAACAGGGCTGTTGAGTTTGCAGAAGAAGAAATGTGTACAGACAAAGAAATATCTTCAACTACAGAAAGGACTGCTGTGAAGAAGAGGGAGTACATGCTCTCTGTGTGGGCTGAGGGAGATGCTCTGAATAGTTACAGCTGTCCAGAGATGGGATGCATTACTGTGAGAGGTGATGTGTCCCCCACCCTATGTGTATACATGTACAAATGAGGTAACTACTTGCTGGGGAATGATACTGGGATGGGCTGGATCTGAATGACAGTTGTTGTGTTTATGCAGGACAAACTATTTCACCTTTCTGACCCACAGTTTCCTAACTTGTGAAATGGGAACTCTAAAGCTAGCTACTTTTTTGGCTACTGAAGCTTTAATGAGATGATATGTGTAGGACACTATAATCAAGGCCTGCCTGGGAGCAGATGTTTTTACTGTCAACATTTTATTTCCATTGAAAGGATTCTGCCATTGAATGAAGCCTTGGACCTTTGCTCACTTTAAGTACTTAGAAAGCTTCTTTAGAAGCTTTCTCAGTCGACTCCCTGAGAGTTAGGGGACCGTATCCATTGTCAGCAATTGCCTCCTAGCCTGAAGTCAACCCTTCTTCACCTGCTTTGTAATACCGGACCCTCTGAACACCTTTTCTGGATCCGATGGTGCAGTGCTAGGCCTTGGGAGTAGGGGGCGCTAGGCAGACACTGCCAGGCTATGAGGATGGGACATGCCATGGAACGTCTCTTTTCCTTTCTTCTGGCTCTTTTAGCTTGACCGCCACGACATTAAGGTGACCCCATGACTCTTCCCTTCCCATGAGCTCAACTATAACCAAGTGAGGAATTTCCTATGTGGACCACTGGCTGTGGATACTTCCAGGCAGTGGTAACCCAGAGAACTCCTCTGTGTTAGGCAGCTTTCAGTCACTATTACAAAGAGCAGAGATGATCACTTATGAAGAGAAAGGTTCATTTTCATTCACAGCATTGCAAATTTCAGTCTACGGTCAGCCAACCCTCCTGCGTCTGAGGCTGTGATGGGGCACACAGCATGGTGGGAGCCTGTGGGACTCAGGGGACCAGCCTTTAACATATGGGCTTTGGAGGCCATTTAATGACCCAACTACCACCTCCTCTTTCATCTACTGGGCTGTGACCAGATCATTTCCAGCCACGTCTGCATGTCGGTGGGGACAGTGAAACTCTCTTCCAACTCTGTTCCCTCCTGGAGTACTTGTCCTTAGTCCTAGAGAAGAGACAGGAACTGGACCCTGCATAGTGTGTTTATATTCTCTTGTATCCTGTTTTAATCCTTTTAATAGTTAGTCATCTTTATCAGTTAATAATCCCTCATATTAAAATTTCCCCATTCCAATTACTTTTGTGATTTCTGTCCCCTGATGAGACCCCAGGTGTCTATCCCAGTGGTACAAATGTCTTTGTCCTGGTCAATTTCAAATTACCAGTTCTGTGTGAGGAAGTGTAAGGCTGGGAAGAGACACAGAGTAACGCAGAGTACCACACCATGGCAGAATATTTCTCCAGCCAGGATACGGAATGGGTAAATAATCTCCAAGGCATATGCAGTAGTAAAATATTACAAAGTAATTAGAAATTGATGAGTTTTTAGTGCTTACTGCCTTTCTTTGAACATAATTGATTTTATTGTAAGTTAACGTAATTTGATTTTTAATGCTGTTTGTGGTAAACAACTGGCTGAGAAAATTTCTGAGCTTTTACCCTCAGCTCCAGGGCTGGCTTGAGCCAGCTACAACACATGGCTGTCTCCATGCCTGGCGCCTGTCACCCTTAGTTTTTGATCCTGCAATTATGGAAACAGACTTGCTGAATTTCTCCAGCCTGTAAAGCAAGGGAGGCGGGGGCCAGGCGGTCGGCCCCGCCTCACTCTATCACCCCTCCTAATGTAGTGTTTGACACTTGCAATTTATTTTTCAACTCCTTTATCATCAGAAATGTTTAAATTTCCAGGATAAACACAGCTTTGCCAAACTGAATTAGTCACAGGGTGGATAGGCGAGAGACTCCCAGGGCACTTTGTCTACAAGTCACCCTTGTAGTTCTAGTGGAGGCCACCACAGGGAGGAAGGGCACTGGGCTGCAGGGACCTCTCGGGAAGACCCTGTTTGGAACCTCACTGGAGATCACCTGAG